GGTGCTTCTGGGATCAGCCAGGAGCCAAGTGTATCGGACTCCGAAGAGGATACGTCTTGGCTGGATCCACGCCAGCGTCGGAAGGACAAGCGTGCGCAGCAGCGGACACGCCGTGCCAGATAGTTCAGCTGAGTCACTGGGCCACACCCCACTGGCTATATAAGCAAGGGGTGTGGCGTGTGAAACTTTTGTGATGGACAATTTTTGCTGGATATTCTGTTGCAAGCACTCTGGTAAGTTATCTTGGATTTATCTCTGTTTGCTGTGCATTATCAGTAAAGGCTTGGCAGGCAGCTACGAAGTTGCTGCCAAGAAATTCATTTGTCTTTGGCTGTGCCGAGCAGTTTTTCAGGCCTCGGCTGACTGGTTGGGGGGTGTGGGTCGGACAGGGGACAGAACAGTTGTCTCCTTTTGCCTTCCATCTTTCCCAACTTCAGGGTCTTTTCCAAAGATCCTCTCTTCTCATTAGGTGGCCAAAGTATTGAAGCTTCAGCTTCAGCATCTGTCCTTCCAAAGGACAGTCAGGGTTGATTTCCTTTAGGATTGACTGATTCGATCTCCTTGCAGTCCAAGGGATTCTCAAGAGTTTTCCCCAGCACCATAATTTGAAAGCACCAATTCTTTGGGACTCTGTCTTCCTTATGGTCCAGATCTCACAGATATATATTACTACTGGGAAAACCAAAGCTTTGACTATATTCCGTTACTACATCCTTATAATAAAACTAGTGTTCAAACCATAGGTTTAACACCTAGACAGGAAAAATCAAAGGTACAAGTACCGATTAGGTGAAACCTGGCTCAAAAACAGTAACTGTGAGAGGGACCTTGGAGTCCTAGTGGACGATCACTTAAACCTGAGCCAGCCGTGTGCGGCAGCAGCCAAAAAATCGAATACAATCCTTGATTGTATAAACAGAGGCATAGAATCAAAATCACGTGAAATATTAGTACCACTTTATAAATCCTTAGTAAGACCACATCTGGTATACTGCATCCAGTTCTGGTCATCACATTACAAAAAAGATGTTGAGATGTTGGGAAAAATGGAAAGAAGAGAAACTAAGATTATTAAAGACCTGAAGACAAAAACATACAAAGAATGGTTGCAGGAATTGGGTATGGCTAGTCTAGAGAAAAGAAAGACTAGGGGTAACATGATACCAGTATTCCAGTATTTGTAGAGCTGCCACAAAGAAGAGATGGGGGAGGGGTGTCAACTTATTTTCCAAAGCACCAGAAGGCAAGACAAGAAACAATGGATGGAAACTAATCAAGGAGAGAAGCAACCTGGCATTAAGGAGAAACTTCCTAACAGTGAGGACAATCAACCAGTGGAACAGCTTGCCTTCAGAAGTTGTGGATGCTTCATCACTGGAAGTTTTAAAGAAAAGACTGGACAGTCACTTGTCTGAAATGGGTATAGGGTCTCCTGCTTGAGCAGGGGACTGGACTAGACCTCCAAGGTCACTTCCAGCTCTATTCTGATTCTGATTCATTCATAACTTTGGTTCCTCTGTCTGAACTGCCTCAAAGAACTGACACTCACACTGCTGGCAACTGTTCAGCTTGTTGTCAGTGACCAAGTTCTTCATGAATTTTGTATATGTGCCCTACATTTTTCCTTCCTAAAATATCTCACATCCTTCTTGAAGGACATGTGGTTCCTTTCATCAAAGCTTTCCAACCTGTCCAGATTAGACTTCACACGGCCCTGAAAATATTACCCAATTTCTCCTTCTTTGGAAAAAGAAAAGAAAAGAAAAAAGGAAGACATTGCAAGCTACTGCCCCTCTCAAACAGAATAAAAATTACTCCCCCCCGCCCCAAGACTAATTTTATAAGCATGGAGGAAACCATCCAGATGAGCTGTCAATAAATTCTGCTCTTAAGTTTGCTGGTGTCACTGTGTCTCCTAGAGAGAAACAAATGATTTAATATACTGCGCAGAAAGATGGAGATTTGGCTTGGGTCTCATGAGGAATTAGTTTTCTGAATTCCAAGTTACCTTGGTTTTGCATTTGTTTTCCACATTCCATGAGTGTGGCTACGTGGTGGAGGTAAATTCCCAGTGACAGCTGGCAAAGAGTAAGGGCAGATTCAGACAATCCAAGACTTCGGTAGCTTCGCTTAATTAACTAATGGGCTTCATAGAAATGTAATGGGATTTGAAAAGAAAAAAGCTTTTAAGCAAGATTCAAAGCCAGCAGCATCTGTAATAGTAAAAACTTCTTGTCCACCCCCACCCCTCTCTTTCTTTCTGAGATTCACAAGTCAGTGCTGGGAAGTCCAACACTGTCGGTGTGCTTGTATGCAAGGTTTCTACTCCCTCTGCTGCCTCTGAGCTGCAACTGTATCCAGTATCACCCTAAAAATATTACCGCTTTTAAAAGAAGAATATAGGAAAAACCCAATGGAAGCACATCTTATGTTTCTCATTCAATATGTGAAAATGCAGGATCCGATTTGGGTTTGGTCACCGGGACCAGAGATTTAGCTTTTGTGCTTTGGGTTATTTTATGCATAGAATTTATAACAACAACAAAACAACAACAAAACAACAACAACAACAACAACAACAACAACAACAACAACAACAATAATAATAATAATAATAATAATAATAATAATAATAATAATAATAATAATAATAATAATAATAAAAGTTGGAAGGTACCTTGGAGGTCATCTAGTCCAACCCCCTGCTCAGGCAGGAAATCCTATACCATTTCAGACAAATGGCTGTCCAATCTCTTCTTAAAAACTTCCAGTGTTGGAGCATTCACTGCTTCTGGAGGCAGGTTGTTCCACTGGTTAATTGTTCTAACTGTCAGGAAGTTTCTCCTTAGTTCTAGGTTGCTTCTCTCCTTGCTTAGTTTCCACCCATTGCTTCTTGTCCTGCCTTCAGGCACCTTGGAGAATAGCTTGACTCCCTCTTCTTTGGGGCAGCCCCTGAGATACTGGAACACTGCTATCATGTCCCCCCTCGTCCTTCTCTTCATTAAACTAGACATACCCAATTCCAGCAACCGTTCCTTATATGTTTTAGCCTCCAGTCCCCTAATCATCTTTGTTGCTCTTCTCTGTACTCTTTCTAGAGTCTCAACATCTTTTTTAAATCGTGGTGACCAAAACTGGATGAAATATTCCAAGTGTGGCCTTACCAAGGCATTGTAAAGTGGTATCAACACTTCATGTGATCTTGATTCTATCCCTCTGTTAATGCAGCCCAGCACTGTGTTGGCTTTTTTTGGCAGCTGCAGCACACTGCTGGCTCATATTTAAGTGATTGTCCACTAGGACTCCGAGATCCCTCTCACAGTTACTACTATTGAGCAAGGTACCACCTATACTATACCTGTACATTTGGTTTTTCTTGCCTAAATGTAGAACCTTACTTTTTTCACCATTGAATTTCATTTTGTTTTGTGGTACCTGATTATGTGTGACTTTTTATTTGTTGATTGGGGTGTTGATGGCTGTCTATCAGGTCACTAGCTGTTGTTTCCTTGTGCTTCCAAGTCCTTGGCTCCTGAGTACCTGATAAGCTGGTGGTAAATCAGCACTCCTGTGGACTGACAAGGGGGCCTCTTTCCCAGGCTTCAATCACTTCCCTGGCTGTTTTTGTACCTGCTCATCCAACAATCTCAGCAGCTGCAAAATTGAATATATGCCCTTGCTCATCGCAATGTGAAAAAATGCTGATTTAACACCAGCTTATCAAGTACTTAGGAGCAGCGAACTTGGCAGCACAAAGAAACAATAGCCAATGACTTAATAGCAGTTATGTCTTTACTACTGATCAATGAAAGAAAACACTACCAGGACAGTGATTCATACAAAGACAGGGCTCAATTATCTTCCCTTTCCCATCGTAGTTAATAAGTAGAGTAGAACAAACCACTGTATCATGTAGAGTTATGCCAGAGAGCTTTTTCTGTGAGAGAATGCTTTAGAGTCATAGAGGCAAAGCTTGCGTTCATGGCATATTGTTTGGAAATTAACAATCTAGATTGCATACGTCCTAGAAGAGGGGCAGGCAACCTTGACTCTTTTATGACTCGTGGACTTCAACTCCCAGAATTCCTGAGCCAGCATGGCTCAGCTTGGAAACCTCTCCCTTTCCCCTCAGCGTGGCTGGCTCAGGAATTCTTTTGCCAGTTGAGCCTGCAATACTTGCTCATATTGTCACTCTATCTTGTTTTAATTCTCTTTTGTGGATACTTTTTTATTAAGTGGAGTCCATTCTATGACTGTCTTAGTCCACCTGTCATCAGTTCTTCCAACGTATGTCTCTAGCATAACTCTTTGTCAGTTGAAAATCCCTGCAGCTTAAAATATTAGTATCTAAGCTCATTAGATACTAATTCCTATCTTCTGTAGTCTAGGTTTCCATGGATGAGTGGGGAGAAACATCTTGTCTATGGATTATTATTATTATTATTACTTTAATTTATACCCCGCCCTTCTCCCGAGGGACTCAGGGCGGCTTACAGGTAAATAAAAACAGAGCTATACAATAAATATTTAAAAGCCAAATTAAAATATATATTAATTAACCTGTATTAGAAAAATTATAAAATCCCTTTAAAATCCCTATAAAATCCCCCCCTAGGCCAATCCCGCNCACCCTGAGGAGGCCCGCTCTGTGGGAGCGTACCGGTCGATGGGAGGCAATCTGCGGCAGAAGACGGTCTCGGAGATACCCAGGTCCGATGCCATGGAGCGCTTTAAACGTGGTAACCAACACCTTGAAGCGCACCCGGAAGGCCACCGGCAGCCAGTGCAGCTCACGCAAAAGCGGTGTTATATGGGAGCGACGAGTCGGAATTAACAGGTCCTATTGATATCAAGGCAGTTTTTCCTGTGCTGATAGAATGTTGGAGTCATTCTTCTCAATTGTGAGATCATTACTGAAAAACTGAGCAACTTCTAGATTTTTTCTCTCTGAACGAGGAGCAGCAAACAGGTGCCATGCAGCCCTCTGCCATTTCTAAGAAAATTCCCAAAGAGAAACCTGATGTAAACTTCCAGGTGAATCCCCGCGCAGATGCTATTCGCTCTAAGCTGATCTATACATTTTACCTGATCGATCACTTTGAGGGGCTGAGCCATGCAGTGCCACGGTATAACATACAAGATTTTGTGGATCCCAAGAAGCGAAAGAAACTGATGCTCATGGATCACCACCAGTTGGTTCGCTTCAATGTCGTGCCCACTCGGAATATCATGGTAACCCAAGAGAAACGCTGGCGCAATCGTATTGAAGTACGTTGCAGCCGTTGGCCCCCTTTTAAGATGTGGGTGTCTTCAGTTTTGAACAGCCCAACATTCAAGGGCTTTATCATCTTTCTTATCTTCTTGAACATGGTTGCCCTCATGGTCTCATCGGAGATAATGGGGAAGAGCAAAAAGACCTTTGTGCAAATAAGCATAGTCCTGGAGGTGATTATTTGGGTCATTTTGTATATATTTCTGGTCGAGATTGGGCTGCATTGGTTTGTGAGCTTTCAGAGATACTGGAAAAATCCCTGGAATATCTTCGATTTCACAGTGACCATTATCTCCCTTATACCAGAAATAATATACGTGTTGGACCAGAACCGCAATGTGATAAGTCTCCGACTTCTGCGGTTGTGCCGTGTGCTCCGTTGCCTAAAGCTCTTTCCTAGAGTCCGACAAGTCCGTCTCCTCATCATGGCTATTGCCAAAGCCCTGAAAGCTATGGCCTTCATTTTGGTTCTCCTTGGCTTCCTCGTCTTCGTCTTTGCTGTGTCAGGCATCTTCTTTTTTGAGAGTTACACCCATTCAGACAGGATGGACCTGACTTACAATATGTTTTTCATGGACATGCCCAATGCTCTAGTAACCATCTTCATTCTCTTCACCATGGATCACTGGTACGCTTTGTTGCAAGATTCATGGAAGGTCCCAGAGATAAACAAGGTGATCAGTGGTATATTTATCTGCCTATGGCTTCTGATTGGGGCATTCATTTTTAGGAATCTCTTTGTTGCCATTATGGTCACCAATTTCCAGAACATCCGAAGTGACCTAAGTGAAGAGGTGAGACAGATAGAGGCTCAGACGCAAGCTGACAAATTCAAAATGGAGATCATGGAAAAGAGATTCAGCCAGATTCGAACAGCTATGGACAGAGACATTACATTCAGAGAAAGGTTCACCATGGACCCCACATTCATTCAAACTGCAGACTATCCAGATTTCAGCTATGATGAAATGTTTCCTGGAATTTTGGACTGGGAGACTTACATCCACAAGAACCTACCAGGACTCTACGCTGCTGATGAGGATGAACAGGTGCTTTGGCCACGTGACTCCCTCTTCAGCTACTTTGAGTTGTTGGAGAAGTTGCAACATAACTTAGCGGAACGCAAGGAACTTCAGCAATACATGGTGTTGGCTCTTTCCAACCTTGAGGACAAGTAGCATGAACCATGCAAGCTTTGGGAGAGAAACAGGACAGATCAAAAGCCAAAGCAAATGAAGCTCATGGCTTCGTACCAGCCTCTCCCCTTTCCTCCTCAATCCAAAAATCTCTAGATAAGACACAAGAATACTATTAAAATATATTGCATATCATCATTCTACCCATTGTCTATCCATTGCAGTATGAAGGTCTCTTCTGCATGTTTCCAACCTAGATGGTCCTTTGCTTTCTTTTGCCAGTTGGGCCCTCAATACTTGCTGATGTTGTTGATCCATCTTGTTTTAGGTCTCTTTCATGGACACTTTTTATCAAGTGGGATCCATTCTATAACTGCCTTGGTCCACCTACCCTCAGTTCTTCTTGTTATTTGACCAGCACATTTCCATTTCAATTCTTTTACTCTTTTGATGGCATCATATATTTTAGTTTGTTCTCTAATCCATGTGCAGGTCTTTCTAAATTTTGTCTTGTAATGCTGAGCACGTATCTTTCCATGGCTCTTTGCCCCACTCATAGCTTTTGTACTGCTTGTGAGGTTAGTGTCCATATGTTAGAGCAGGTAGCACACACTGATCAAAAACGTTTCTCTTTGGACATAGTGGAAGGTTGTTCCCAAAAATTATGCTTAGCTTGCTATTGCCTGCCAACCACATTTAAGACGCCATTCAATTTTCTTTATTGTACCACCTTCCATTGAGATCCATTGGCTAAAGTATATGTAGTGCTCTACTGCGTCTAGTATACTGTATATATAATTGTGGAAAACTCATGTATATTCAAGGGTTCCAAATTCTGTTTACATAAAACTGAGATCTAAGCATCACTTTCCAGATTACAGGTGATATGGCAGTTATAAATGATATGACAATTTAAAGCCCCCGTCTTGTTTTGGGATACAAGCTTTGCTGGCGTTAAGCCATCAGGACATCAAGTTACATACATATTTCAATGTTCACATTTTTATGTTCTAGGAAAGAAATTCTCTCCCCCCCCCCAATTTAATACCGATGGAGAGCCAGCTGCAATATGGAAAGAGTTGCAACAATTTCTAGGGGTTGAATAGATAAATGGTTCTAATACAACGTTTCTCATAGTTGGTAGCTTTAAGATGTGTGGACTTCAACTCCCAAAATACCTAAGCCAACTTCGGTGCTTTCAATCCTTCCAGATACATGTGATATCCCTGTGTACCATTTCTGACTTGCACACTGCATGCCTATGTGCTCTTCCCAGCTTGTGTGGCACCTCTTGTGCACTCTTGTTCAATCTTCCTGACTTGTGCTGTATTGTGTTCTCTGACCTGCTTGGCACCTCTTGCACAATCCCACATACCTACTCACCTCATGCATCCTTTCCGACCTGTGATGCACCTCCAAGTGGCCTTTTTGACCAACACACTTTCATGCACCCATGCATATCTACAAGACGTGCCACATGGGTCAGGCAAAGTGTGCAAGGGTGCAAATGAATATGCAAGACCTGCCACATGAGTTGGGGAGAGTGCACAGTGGTGTACAAGAGGTGCTTGGTGAATGGAAGTTGTTGCACAGGTTGTGGCATGAGTTGAGAGTCTGCAGGGTTGAAAAGGGGTGGGAGCAGTGGTGGGATTCAGCCAGGTCGCACCATTTCAGCAGAACCGGTAGCTAATTTTTTGTTGCCCAGGCCCAGAACGGACTTCAGGAAGCGGCATCCACACAGAGAACCGGTTGTTCACATATTTGAATCCCACCACTGAGTGTGAGATGTTACATGACAGTGTGTAGGAGGTGTGGAGAGGGTTGGAAAGGGGGTGTGGATATGTGTATATATTGTCTATGTCAGACAATATCCACACATACCAGTACTGGGTTTCCAACCAGATCTATATCCATTCTCATGTTCTGCATTCTTGCATTTCCTGTCAGATTGATCACCAAAGCAGGAACCTTCTCCCCAAATTAATACCTCCCCTTTTATCTTATGATCCAGGAAAGCAATGAAAGAGCTAAGCCACAGAAACAAGGTTGAAACAAACTGAGTGCAATGACCTTTATGAGACTTTTACTACTCAGTTAAGCATATTGTCAGAAGGCAGAGATGATGCCTATAGGAAGAACAGTAGCACTTGCTGGCCGTGGTTTTGTAGCTAATTTTGAGCAAGGTGGATCAACAGACCAATTACATCTGTGTTTCTCAACCTCAGCAATTTTAAGATGTGTGGACTTCAACTCCCTCTTGATATTACCCTGTCAGCATTCTGGAGTCGAAGTCCACACGTCTTAAGTAAGTTGAATTCTGGGAATTGAAGTCCACATCTTAAAGGAGTTGAGTATTGGGAGTTGAGGTCCACACATCTTAAAAGAATTGAATTCTGGGAATTGAAGGCCACACATCTTAAAGGAGTGGAATTCTGGGAGTTGAAGTCCACACATCTTAAAGGAGTGGAATTCTGGGAGTTGCAGGCCACACATCTTAAAAGAATTGAATTCTGGGAATTGAAGTCCACACATCTTAAAGGAGTTGAGTACTGGGAATTGAAGGCCACACGACTTAAAGGAGTTGAATTCTGGGAATTGATATCCATACATCTTAAAGGAGTACTGGGAATTGAAGGCCACACAACTTAAAGGAGTGGAATTCTGGGAGTTGAGGTCCACACATCTTAAAGGAATGGAATTCTGGGAGTTGAAGTCCACACATCTTAAAGGAGTGGAATTCTGGGAGTTGCAGGCCACACATCTTAAAGTCGCTGATGTTGAGATACATTGAACTAAATTAGACTGTTCTCCTATGTTCATAAAAAAAATTCCTGCACTTTACAAATTTTGCACTGGAATTCTTTGTTTAATTGGCTCCTTTGTTCAAATAAGAATAGACTGAACTGCACAGAGAAGGTCTGAAGAGTTTATTTCCCAACTTCCCCAACCAGCCTTCCATAATTGCCTTGGTAATATTAACTTGCCCTCATTTTCTCGCACTTTGATTTAAAATTGCATGCTATGTGCCATTAGCAGTTTTCTTAAGGGCTGCCCTTCAAAAAGGAGGGGCTTGTTATGAAAACTATCCCTGTTGCCTTGGTTACTAATTACATAGGTTTTTAATCACATGTAAACCCTGGATTTAAAAATAGCTTTGATGTGAGAAAATGTACGAAAGCAAGAGAAAAGTGTTTATGTGTGGTCATGATATTGATAGTATTCTATTGGTAGTCCAGGCCTTTTAGGCATGGTGTTGATTTTTGAACATTTATCAAAATTATTTACCCACCAAGGGAAAAAAATGATTTATTCCTAAGAGGCAGGAAGAAACATGCTTCTTCCATCCTTGAAAATATCTGCAAAACTGCATAAATTTTGCCGGCTAAAATTAACTTTTCCGACTTGCAGAGTTTATACAGGATGACAAAAAAAAAATCACCCTGTTCCATTGCAACAATCATTACAAAACTTGCACCTAGTCTATTATGTGGATTTAAATTTATATTTATTTACTACAGTTGGTAGACTACTATGCTCAACAACTGGTGGCTTAAAATAAAGCATGCATTTTTTTCTCCACCTACCTTCTCCAATAAGGAAAATTTTGCAGGATCCAATCTGAGTTGGTCATCCTGACCAAAGGTTTATTCTTCCAAGCTTTTGGGCTTGTACTGGAGCCCATCCTCAGAGGATTTCTCTCTCTCTTCAAAATGTGTGCACTGGGTTGTTCTTCACATTGTATTTATAAAAGACGCTTACTCCTGGGGAGGAAAGCTATGGCAAATCTAGACAGCATACTAAAAAGCAGAGACATCACCCTGCCAACAAAAGTGCGTATAGTCAAGGCCATGGTTTTCCCAGTTGCAATGTAGGGCTGTGAAAGTTGGACCATAAGAAAGGCTGAGCCCCAAAGAATTGAGGCCTTTGAACTATGGTGCTGGAGAAGACTCCTGCGAGTCCCCTGGACTGCAAGGCAATCAAACCGGTCAGTCCTAGAGGAGATGAACCCTGACTGCTCTTTAGAAGGCCAGATCCTGAAGTTGAAACTCAAGTACTTTGGCCACCTAATGAGAAGGAAGGTCTCACTGGAGAAGAGCCTGATGCTGGGAAAGATGGAGGGCAATAGAAGAAGGGGACGACAGAGAATGAGGTGGCTGGATGGAGTCACTGAAGCAGTAGGCATGAGCTTAAATGGACTCCAGAAGATGGTAGAATCCAGGAAGGCCTGGAGGAATGTTGTCCATGGGGTCGCGATGGGTCGGACATAACTTCGCAACTAACAACAAAAACAAGAGTGTTGATAGCCGGTTATGAAGTAACACAAAACCAGACACTATATAAATGCAACGTGTAGAGCAGCCAGTGCACACACATAAGTCAGGCACCAAAGAATCAGGAATGACATATGGTATGTCGTGACATATCACGTTGCAAGTTTGACACCCCTGTGATAGACAAATCTCAATCAAATCTTAATCAGGTCAATCAGAATGCAGTCTGAAAAACTATCATCCAGAAAGCAGAGGTTTAACCTGTTGCAAAATTTCTCCTTTGAAAACTTCAGTTCTATTGGCACACTTACAAGAAAGCATTCAAAAATATGTTTATGGATGCTAAAAGTATTCATATCTGCACCAGTGAGGCAGAATAAAATATGGATAATAAATCAGTGTCAAACAAATTGGGAGTTAATGCAATAAAAATGTTTGGTTAAAAATATATTGTCCTCAAAAAACAATACCCTCCTGCCCTCTCTGTTAATGAAAATTGACAGGATCAAGTCTTTAAACATCTTACCCAGCAAAGAATACCACTAATTTTTGTTATTCACACACAGGCATGTCTTTAAAATTCCAGGGTATTGATAAAGGTATTAGAATGCAAAATCATATGCAGGATACTAGATCTTTCCATTGGAGAGTTCCCTGCTGTTGTACCTTCCCATATTTCCATTCCTGGTCTGGCTATACATACACACACACAGACACATACAGAGAGAGAGAGAGAGAGAGAGAGAGAGAGAGAGAGAGAGAGAGAGAGAG